TGTAGTAGCTTTCTAGAAACTCAAAATTACTCAGCGTTTTGATACAGTATAACATTAGCTGGTTATAATTTGGTACCTACGTTTTATAAACAGGTAGCTGTGCATGAGAGCTACCAGTTCATACCGTCCTGATAAAAAACTAGGTCTCTCAAAGGAAACAGATTTAACTACCAGGGTCTTTTGAAGTGTCCTCTCTCCCCCTCCACCCTGTCTCCCAGGTTGAAGGCTCTCTTAGGAAGCGTTCCCTGTCTCACTTAAGTCAAACGAGAGGAGGCATCTGGGTGTTTCTAAAGGAAAACCTTAAAGCAAAAGAACCGTGGCACTAAGATTTTGTACTGATAAAAACATAGGATGGTAAAAACCTAGAAAGTATCTCCGACCAGGGCTCTAAAAAACTAACTCCACATAGAATGACGAAGCCAAGCTGTTCGTTACACAACGTGGGCCAGGTTCTTGCGCCATTAAGAGCCAGCAAAGGTGGTAAGAAGACTCCACTAAGCTCTCACAAAGCACGCCCTAACCCCTGGATAGAGGGGTGAGAGCCATGTGCCTAAGATTAGGGGTTAATTCCCTTTTTCAAGAAACTGAAAGGAAGGCGCAAAGAGAAAGGTAGAGTGTAGGAGCTCAAGATACACAGCTCTAGGTGAGTGAAAGAATAACAATTGGGCCGCGCTTCTGTGCCAGATGCGGCTGGGGACAGGAGGTGTCTCTAAGCACTTAGGTGGAGCGGGGTTTCAGTCCATACACAAAGGAGGTGCCACTGCCGCACTGCGCTCCGGTACTCGTAGTCAGATCCCCAAGCAGGTGACAGCCAGGAAACTATAGGATCCAGTCAGAGTAGGCCCCTCTCTTAAGCCCCCAGCTCTTTCAGCCTCACACAAAGGACCGCGCCACCACCCTCTCACCCCGCCCGTCTGGACTTGGAGTTCCCGTTTCCTCTGCCAAACCGCAGAGGAGGAAGCGGCCAGACTACAACTCCCAGCAGCCTCCGCGCCCGAGCCCCGCACCCCTGCCTCCATCTTGGCTGCGGTCGGAGCCTCCATTTTCGCTCCCTCCCCCTCCTTTAGTCACCACCACCGGTACCAGACGAGGCCGCCTGGCCTCGACTCTTCGCTTCAGCCCTGCGGCCTGACGTGAGGCCTAGACTGTTGAATGGGGGCCGGGTGGTAAAGCCTAGGGTAAGAACTCAGAGTAAGATTTCTCCCTACCCGTTGCTCTTACAGTGCCCACTTTGACTCAGAAGTCTCTCCCATTAGTCTTGGTCTTCTCATCCGCCCTTAGCCTGGCTTGTTGCTACCCCCAATTGGACCCTGAGGTCGTACTCACCCCAACAGCTCAGCGCCCCCTTTCCAGCGCCGCCATAAGCAGCACGGCCCGGTACGTAGGAATAAATCTCGCTTCTCTCGCGAGAGTTGCAGGCTCCGAGCGCGTGCACAGGAAGGGGAGGGGAGCGTATTCCTAATACGCTTGCGCACGAGGGCCGAGTGACGCCAACTAGTGCGCAGCGCTTAACCAAAACCAAGATGGTGGCTGCGTTCCACTACATTGGCTCCATCAGTTGCTGGAAGCAGTTTCGTTGTTTACTGGGTCCGCTGGGACGCAAGGGCTAGGGTGGCGGGTGACTTTCGGCGTCTCTGATCTTTGCAAACTTGAGTATGCTTTCATCAGCTAGTCTAGGGCGAACAATTTGGAGGGTATATAAACGATTGTCATATTAAGGATTTCTCTTTTCCCAACGATAATCCAGAAGCTCCCAAACCCCAGTTTTTCCTTACAGCGCAAGCTTCTTTCTTTTGTCTGTTACATTAGGCTGGAATTTTCATTGTATGCAGAGTCAGGTTTTTAGTTAAGATAATTTGGGAGTCTTAAGTGAGACCTTTGCCTCCCAGAAACTACATCGCTTGCCACAGACAAGAGTGTAAGGCAGCATAATCCACACCCCTCCGCAAACAAAACAGCACCCCGCCCTCCCTTTTAACTGACCTTTCTAGTTACCAGAAGATAATTCGTAGGGTATCAGGTAATCGAATAGGGTGAATCAGTAACCAAAAAGTTGAAATCAGGGCAAATGGATGATTCATCCACCGGGGTAAGAGGAAAGCAGAAAAGTTCCATGAATTATCCCTTGCCAAACAATAGAGCAGTCCTCTCTGGTGAGAGGAATGCTTTTCCCAGATTCTGTGGCTTTCTCACTTAACAATATTGGATAAACAATGACTAGTTACGGTCCTGAGAATTCTCCCTCCCACTCATTTTATTTTGGCTTTAAAGACATTTATTTGGCATCTCATATTTGTCCTCATTGGCGTGTATACTGTAGTAGGACAAACGGATATCTTTCTGTCCTCAGGGAACTTCCAGTCGAACATCATTCAATAATCACAAAAACAAATCTAAACATACACATTAAAATAAGTGTAATGAAGGAAAGATGCAGTGTTAAGAGAATATATAACCTTTCATTCTGACCAATTCATCTTGAATTCAAAGAAGCAGCAATATTCTACTGACGTTCAAAGATTTTCTCTCCACCTGAGTTGCTATTGGTCCAATGCCATACCACCTCCAAGCTGCCTCTATTCTTTGATGCTTTCCCATGCTTTCCTAGGCACAGATGTTTGCTTCACTTTCAATGCCTTGATAGCTCACCCTATTGTAATTATTAGTTTATGCTAGCTAATGATACTTTAGGACAGGGCTTGTGACCTTCATCTTTACATCCTGGTTCCTGACAGTACATGGCATAGACAACTCACAAGCTTGTCGAATGAACAGCACTGAACAACAGCGTAAGAAGTTGTTAATAATTGGAATGGTCTGTTGGGGAAGTACAGAACGTAAACGTATCAAACCAGCTCTTTCGTTTCCTTTATCTGGTTCTTAAATTGAGATCTGTCCTTCCCAGCAATAGATCTAGTCTGGATATTCTAATCTTATGTTAGAGAAACTGCCCTGGGCTCTTACTCTAGAAACAAGGACATGTGAAGCTGGGCTAAAAGTAGAATTAGGTCTAAGAGTACACATTCTCAAATATCACAGCAATGGGAAATGTAAACAATAACAGTCTCATTTTTTGTATTTAAATTTTATAAATTCCTATTAATAAAGAATAAAGTCTACCATTAAATTTCTACCATTCCACATAGCTCCTAAAGATCTTAAACCATATAACCATTTCATCATCCTCATTCTGAATGTCTCAATTTTGTATAAATTCTTCATTGATACATAATTTGAATCAATTTACATTTAACACAAAATGCAAATATAAACCCAGATGGATATTTTAGCTTCTGATATGTTAAAAAAAGTAAAAGATGTAATAACTTGATTTAAATCACTAGATGATTTATTATTTTTACAAACTAATAATTAGAGATAGGTTTCATTTTTAGAAGATCACTACCTTTTAAGGGGATAAATTTTTTCAAATTAATTTTGAAGTCAAATTTAAAAAAAAATGTAGTTATCTTTCTACTTTTTTAAAAAAACAAGTTAATTAAAGCAGAAACATGTGAAGTCATTTTGGAAACCATCTCCTATAAAACAGAGTAGTCATGGATTTTGGAAAGATAGTCTATTAAAAAACCATCAGAACAAAAAAATGCATATATTATATCATAATTTTTCTTCTCTGAGAAACTTAAATCAACAATGAAATTGTTTTTTTTCCTCTACAATTATCAATAAGCACATTTCTCTGGCATCTGAGAATCAAAAGTTAGCATCTTTTATACATTTATAAGGTTTTCTTCAGCAGTAATGGATTTTTTTGTCAGTTCTCTGTGAAATCAGAAAAATTAGGTCAATGTAAAGATTTTTAAAAAAATAAGGCTACATTTATTCAAGACTTTAAGGACCGTTCTTATTTTGACATATCCTTCCTATTTAGGGAAGTTAAAGGGAACTTCTTTTATGAAATTATGGTAATAGTGAATGGTAAAGTGACCTACATTCAAAATTTGTTTAAAGCAAAAACTTTCATAAAGAATAATTATTTCCATCAGTCAGACAGAGAAAGACCAATACCATGTGATTTCATTTATATGTGATATCTGAAGAACAAAATAAATTAACAAAATGAAAACAGACTCATTGATGCAGAAAACAAACTGGTTATTGCCAGATCGAAGGAGGGTTGGGGGGCTGGGTGAAACAGTTGAGGCACTTAAGTACAAATTGGCAGTTACAAAATAGTCATGGGACGTAAAGTGCAGCATAGGGAATATAGTCGACTATATTGTAATAACCATTTATAGTGCCGAGTGGGTACTAAATGGGGGGAATTATAGAAATGTCTAACCACTATGCTGTACACCTACAACTAATATAATATTGAATGTCAACTCTAATTGAAAAAAGAATAATTCCAAAATAAATAATTGAGTTTTAGAACCCTACAATCTAAAACTTTATCATTAACAAGCCCCCAGTTAAAATGCATTATATAAATAAGATTAACAACTATGTAATAAAAGTGTTAAAATTTAAATAAGAATAATGCAGAAGTTCTGTATAATGCACTTAATGGAAGAATTATGTGGACATGCTAAGCTGCTGTGCTAAAAGTAATCACTCATTTTACATATGCTTAGACTCAACCACACCACAATCCTACATATATGACATATCACAATTTAAGAGATGTTAAAATATGAAATAAAAATGAATCTTAGGATCAGTGACATGCAGAAATTCACTTCTGTTGATTCCACATGTATTTCTAGGAGGCTAAATGGAACGTTGAGTGAATTGTAGTTCATCATAGCTCTGAAGGTTCTTCCTCCTCTTTAGCATTCTTGGAGAATGACAGAAGAAAATGCACCCCGTTTTCTGCTGTGAATATTAGTGGATAATACTCCTTAATTCACTCTGAGAGTTACCATGAGACAACTACCAGTAAAATAACTGCAAAATATGAAATATGACTGCTTATGGAGCAATGTGTCTCATATAAATGAAGTAGATGGAGAATGAAAAATTAGCAAGTCAGATATTAGTGAGAATTTTTAAAATGTATTTTATTTATGTATCCCTTAACAAAATATTGTATAGTCACACAATGAAATACCGTATATCAATGAAAATGAGTGAATAACTATCAACAAAACCAATCTTAGAAGCATAATATTGAGTAAAAAAAAAATCAAATCCTCATAGACCACATAGAACTCAGAAAGGAACAAAACTAAAAAATGTCACTTTATGGGTACATACATATTTTAGGTCTTTTTACATGTGATAAAACTATTAAGAGGGAGCAGGGGGCAGGCAGGGGGAAGAGAGGAGCTCAAATAGATGTAAAGTTGGGTCATGTTCTAATTCTTAAGTTAGCTGATGAGTTACTGTGTTTGATAACTTATTTGCATGTTACATTTATCTTTTAAGTGCCAAATATTATATTAAAATATAAGTGCATAGGTATGCATAGTGTTGATAAAATTTATATTTGCATGGTTGTTTTTTAAACTATGCTTATCAGTCAGGGTTCTTAATTGTAAGCAATTCAGGTTAATTTTAACAAAATGATTTTATTAAAAGGCTAATAAGTAATCCTCAGGATCTCTAGGACAGACAGAAAACTGGAATTAGAGGCTACACGGCCTCTAATCACTTTAGATATCTGCTTCAGTGAAGATCCCATGTCCCCTGTTGGAAAAGACATTGCAGGTTACACCACTGATTTTGCTGACACTGGGCACTGAATGTTGTCACTAAAGCCACTTCTGCTGCTCTTCTATGGAGCTGGATGTCATAGCCAGTGTTGCAGGTCACTGCCTTTACTCAAAAAATTCTGCATAGTTTACTGCTTCTATCACTAACTTTAAAGTTTAAGGCAGATATAGCTTTCCTAGCTGCAAGAGGCTGGGAAAACATATATCTGACACTTTCAAATTTTTTAGGAGGGATTTCCTCAACACAAGAGTTAGGATATTGGGCAGCCAAAGAAGAAATGACAGATGTCTGCCAACAGCCCATTCTATTGGCTACTTGGTATCAACACACTCCTTCAGCTAATGCTTATACTTGTTAAAAACTATGCAGTGTTAAAGGACTCACATCAGACATTGTTAGTTGCTTTCTCAGTATTCTCTCCTTTTTGCTACTAGAATACTGATTTTGTTTGGGGGAGCTATGTACACAGCCTCCTTTGCAACTAGAAGTGATCATTTAACAAGTTAGGCAAATGAGACAAGTGGGGATCTGTGGAATTTCTGAGAAAACTTTGCTTTTCCTCCTATAAGGTTGCATATAGTTGACACAGGCCATGTTCTATGCCTTCAACATGACATCTGGCACAGCAGCAACCTTCTTGCAACCACAGGAAAATAGCATAAAGGGTGAAAAACAACATGCTAAGGAGGCAAAGTTGAAAGACTGAACTGTACTTTCCGTATGTAATAAGGACCACTCATTAAGCATTGTTTCTTTCAGCTGTATGCACACATGCCTTATTAGAGCTCCACTTATTAAATTCATATTTTCTAACATGTGGACTGTGGTGTTTCTTTTGCGCTATTAATAAAAATAGGTTTTGCTAATCAAGAACAATTTGAACTCTGAATACTATTGTCATTTAATGGGATCATAACTTAGTGATTATTTTGGAGTCCAACTGCACTTGAATCTTGGTTCCAGTTTTGACAAATAACATAACCTTATCCCGAAGTATCTATAAAAGGAGGTAGAGCTGAAATAGTGATTATACAATGACTAGAAAGCATCAAGCTTTCTATTTCTCCTTCCCATTTTGTCTCTCATGCTTAGTCCCATTCCCACTTCTGTATCCTACATCTTTATATTGGATTTATCACACTGCATCATAATTATATCTATACTTGTTTGTTCTATTTACTAGATTTTTCTTTGAAAACAGTGTCAATGCCCACGCCCCCTTTTTCTATTTTTAACTCTAAATGACGTGCCTGGCATATACACAAGACATTTTCAAACTAGTGTCCTTAGAAGTTTTCTGGGATTATTTATAAAATACGAATTCCTGGATCTCATTTCCAGATTTCTATTTCAGTAGGTCCGTGAACCACATTTTGAGGAACAGTGAAATAGACCTTCAGTGTTTAAATCAAATTATGCCTAAGGTGTTAATATAAATCAAGGTAAGAAAGGTAAATATTTAAGCATTTTTCAAAATACTTCCAAACTTAGTTTCAATTTTATAATTTGGTCTGTAATCATATAATTTATTTCTAATCATGAAGAAATCTTCAAAACCATTTCAAAAACAATTACTTATAGTGTTATACTGCTTACTACACTGTGCTTATTACAAAATATTTATGAAAACCCCTCTGCCTCACAGGTTGCTACCCATGCAAAAACAAACCTTTGCATTTCCTAACAATTAGACTTATTGCTGAGTAGAATTAGCTGATATTCTCAAAACTAGGTTTTATTAGGAAAGATAGGTGTGTACTAAGATTCTGCAAACTAGTCAAGTTCCTCTACCTACTGCAAAAGAAACTTTAATATTCATGCAAATAAAAGTGTAAAACATTCCTTCTCCTCTTCAATTTTTAAACAACACATTATCTTCATAGCATTAACACCAGCCAGAATTTATGTTTTGTATAGTTCTGAGAGCTCTTTAGACTCATACTTCAAGCTTTTCATTTTTCAAGGGCAAAAGTCAACATATAGATTTATCCTGATATCTGAGATGTATAGAACTTTATAAATTCAAAGGAATGTAAGGCAGTTAAAGGGATACCATGTTATATTTTAATGGGCCATTTCATTACTTTATCATTTTCACTAAAAACTGGCAGCTAATGAATGGTATAGGGTACTTGGAATTGTGGGACACATAGTGGCACTTAGGGTATATATGTCAAGGCAAATGGCTGGGGTAAAAGTTTATTTACCCTTGGGAAATGAGATAAAAATGCCAGCACTTGGGGTAGAAGTACTTTTCAAATTCTATGCAGGACTTTGAATAGAAATTTGACAAATTCTGAAATGACATATACCTATTCATTAAAGCTTACCATTATAAGCAAAGTCCATTAGTATTACTGGGATCAGATGCTTTTAGGGTATCTTAGAATCTGTTGTTTTAGTTGTTAATTTTTTATGGAAGTACAAAAGAAATTTTACATCACACACAACTCTCACAAAAAACCTTTTAGTACTGTGTCTCTCCCATGCAGAATGGTGCTTAATGTTACTGGAAAATATTGACAGGTTTAGCGTTCATTATTTCAGCTATTTTTTGGCAAACCTAAATTGATAGTATAACATGAAGTAACTTGTAAATTTTAAATGTGAGTAAACTGAGGTGGGGGAATGAGTTGATGAGTGAGCCTAGTTGACCACTAAGCATTTGAATCTCAACACTGCTTTGTTATCTACATAGCACTATGAATGTAATAACTCTGATGAGGTGATAAAACTTTGCTTCACTGTGAAAAATGAATCTAACAAGAAAGCCGACTACTGGCACTAGTAATGAAAGGCAGCCAAGTAAGAGATGGTTCCTAACTGTAAAATAGAAGTTACATTAGTGCAATGTAGTACCTAAGAACTATGATGTGAATAAACCTATTATATGCTCTTCACACTTGGTGAACTACCCAAGTTGAAGATTTCCTAGTAGGACAAACAAAATTGATTATTAATATCTAAAAGCATTTGAACTAAGAATGTGTGTTGCACAGGACAAATTTCTCAGTATTCTTTGAACAATACAATGACTATACTACTGCTAGGAAAAACAAACAGTTGACTTATTTTCAAGTATGTTTCCTGGGGACTTAGCAGTAGGTTCTCTCAAATTAAGAGTAAAGACACAAGGCCATAAGTGCCAACTCTCAGCACCAGAGAGACTTAAAACTTTATAAATCAGAGAATTTGCCAGGCTAGTTCTGTGAACTTGTATTACTTTCCTCAAATGGTAAACAATCCAGGTACATGCCAAATAGATTCAAAAAGGTAGTCTCTTTTTAATTTTTTTATGATTGCAATATACACTCCTATATAAAATAAAATTGTTGCCTTATAATAAAATGCTTGAAGTTTCAGAGATGTGAAAGAACAAAAACGAACTGAAAACACTGTTTATATAAATCAAGGTCCCATAAATGAAAATTAAAAGTAGTCTCTTAGAGAAAGGAATGGTGAAATTCAGTGTGTTGAAATTCACTAACACACCCAAGAACTGTTTTGTGGAGAGCCGATTCTGATTGCCAGTTCTAAACTGCCACCTGATTCCTTTAATCAACACTAAATCAGGTCTGAGGCAAGACAGTGACAGGACAATACTTGACTAGAAAGAGAGTAACTTCCTTCCTTGATAAACTATCTCCAGTCATCATTGAGAAGATGAAGTTATTTGATAGCTTGGGAAGCAGTGTCCATTGAGTTTTCCTTCCTGACCTGAAGTGACTCGCTGCTGATGGACAATAACTCTCGAAGTTCCTTATTTTCAAGCTGAAAAAGAAAAGTATATATTTTAGATATTTTGACTGTCAAACTGCATCAGAACACATTGCTTTGGACCAGGAACAGAAAGCATATTATTTTAATTTTAAAAGTTTAAGAAAACAAAAGAACTGAGAATTTCTTAAAATACTACTTATTTATTCATTTAACAAACATTTACTGAGCAGATTTTTTATGCCACGTTAGGACTACAAAGAAAATAACAAGACTCCTCTCCACTGGAGGAATTCACTACTTGTCATGCTCTTCATGGTTCACACAGATTTTATTACTGTTTATTCTATCTTTCAAATTCCTAGTAATATTTTTACTCTGATCTTCTTAGATGTCCTCTCTCTCTCCTAGCAATTATATGCCATTTCATATCATACTAGCACAGTAAGTCCTCACTTAACGTCATCGATAGGTACTGCGACTTTAAGCAAAACGATATATAAAGAAACCCAATTTGCCATAGGCTGACTGATACAAACAAGAGTTAAGTTCCTATGGCATCTCATCAAGGTTACAACGAAAGGACGTTGAATGAAATGAAGTTAATTCGAAGACCTACTTTAATAGTCTTATTGCTTTCACTAAGCTCTGAGCAGGGACCCTGCCTTTTTCTCTCTGGTATTTCTCAAAGGTCCCATGATAACATCTTATAATAAGCAGCATTCATACCATCTATTATAATGTTTTTCCTTAACAATTTTGGGGCACACTAACACCCTAGGCCTTTCTTTTTAAATTATTTCTATTTTAATCAAAATATTACATGAAAATAGCTTTAAAAAAAATCAAGACTACAAGGCTTATAAAGTAAACAGTAGTTCCTTGGCTTTGTTCCCCAAAGGCAACCACTTTTAATACTTTTATCTACTTCTTTGGTATTTGCTTCTATAATTTTAAATAATATACCTGTATTGCTATTTCCTGATTATCAATTTCAGATATCATCTACTGAACTTCCTTATATGGCAGATGAGGGATTTTAGTTCACACGTAATCCGTTCCACTCTTTCTACCCTCTTGATATGATAATATCTCAATTTCTAGCAAATACATGGTTGGTATTTTCATTATTTGCTGCTGACTGCATTTCCTTTCTTGAAAAGGGTGTGGAGGAGTTGTTTTAATTTTAAATCATGAGCATACAGAAAACATCAACACATTGCAATGATAGGATAATAATGGCATACCTTCCAGACTCTATGAAAACTCTCTGAAATATTGTGAGCCTGAAACAGCAACAATCTTACCTCTAATTGGGCTAGTTTTTCCTGAATCTTACAAAATTGGTCATCATCCACCTGAACTGCTTTCCTCATCACTTCTCCCATTTCACAGATTCTATCAATCTGACTCTCAATCTCCTGTGAAGATATTAACACAAAAAAGGTGAAAATGTTATCTTTCCTACAGATATGAAGTTCGTGAGAACATATGCACTATGATGTTAAAAAGTTCATTTAATCTGTGGTACAGAGGTTACACACAAGTTTCACTATAAACTGAGTCCTCAGAGGCAAGGCCATGATAAAGTTATCTTGTGGTATTCACAAATAATTTGTTTTCAAAAGATCGATTCTAGTCTAACCACCCACTGGATGTTGGACGATATCTCTAAAGGGCTGTTTAACTTAAATTTGAATACTTTTATTGGCAAGAAGCTCACCACATTCCAAGGTATATTATTCTGTCTTTAGACTTTTAGCAAGTTTTTCATATGAGCTAAACTCTGTCTCCTTCAAAGATCAAGTTTTCTCCTTTAGACTAGCGAAAATAAAGTTTATTTTCCAGATGAAAACCATTCACATATTTAAAACATCCCTGTTTCCTAAGACTTTCATTAAGTCACTAAAATGTTTTCAGTAGAATCTAAGATGAAACTTCATAAATTCCATCGTAGCAAACGGTGAGGCACCAATCTATTAATCCAAGATTAAATGATATAGGACATGTGAATGTACTATGGCAACTAGCACTTTACAGAGATAAGAACAATTACTGGGTCTCCCAAATTAAATCATGAGCAACCAAAGTGTAGAAACTATGCCATGTATGTATTTTTAAAACCACGCTTCTCTCTCTTAATGACAGAATAGGATGCTGTGTAGTTCAGACTAATAAAGGTATACTGACTGCCTGCTATGTGCCAGGTCCTATGACAGGAAAAAAAGATAAATTCAAGCTCTTTACAACCAAAGAGTATACAGTTTAGTGAAATGTACAGTAATAACCAATCGAGTATTCACTGAACACCTTCGACATTGACTGGCATGTTTGGTGGAAGAACAAAGCATTCATTAACATCTTGGAAATGGATCTTGGTGAGGGAGGGAGGAACCTTAGTCCTTATTAAATAAAAGGACCTGTGCAGCCCCTCACCCCCTTCTTTCTATTCATAGCTTTACAAAACTATAGCAAAATCAACAGCGAATGTGATAAACATGAAAGGAAAACAAGCTAACTTCTCTTCAAAAACGCACACAATCTAAAACTTCAGTTCATTTAGAATCAAAGTTTCTTACTGCAGAGTGAGACTGGTGAGCTTTCAGGACTGGTTCAGCATCCACAGCTTTTTTAGCAACCATTAATTGTAACATCTGTTTCCGGTACTTGCTCATGATGAGTTCCAAAGCATCCTGGTGTTCCTCCAAGGAAACCCACAGCTCTATCAAAAAATAAAATAACTTGGCAGTGATGTCTGAGAGATGGCACTCAAAGCCAGACTCTTAACAGTTGGAATTTTATGGAACTCCATGAGATACTGTGACTTCAAAGATGTAAATCAGTGTTTAAGTCGATAAAACTCAACAGTTAAGGTCTATGTGAAACATAACTTTTTAGGCAGAGGCAGCATAATTAGGTAGAAACATGGGATGTGGAATCAGATGTGAGTTATTAGCTTAATACTCATAAGCAAATCATTTAACCTCTCTGAGGCTATTTCTTATCTGCATTGTAATAATAAATACCTGACTTGTCTACCTCAAAATGAAGATATAAGAACATAATGGGATGATCTATGTGGAAGTCTTCTGTAAACTGGTATACAAATAACTACTCATACGATCATCAATAATGTACTCATCAAGCCTAAGAATACATACCCTGAGTATAAACTTCAGCTCTTCTATCTTGCACAAGAACATAAAAAATCTTTAATCTTGACCGTAGTAGTTATTTCAATTAATATTTAAACATTGAATTTTAATCCCCGAGGATCTTTTGTTGTGCAAGTCTCCATCTGGGGATGCCTAAATAAGCCATGCAATAATTTACTCTATTAAATACCTCTTTGATAAACTGCCTACAAATACGAAATCGGTCGGACCACCTTGAATAGGGTAATGTAACAAACTTTATTGTTACTGGGTCAGCACAGAATAACTTTTATTAAAAGTACTGATCTGGAAATATATATAGCATGTGCACTTTTGTGAACAGTTTGGCGGTTTTGCAAGAACTTTTGAAATATCATAATAACTAAGAAAATCATAACTACACAAAAAGGCCTGACTAACCTCTGTTTTCCTGCTGCAAGTCTCTAATCTGTGTATTCTCTTGGGACAGCAGAATGTGAGGTTTGTATTTGGACATGTCCTTTATATCGGATGCATCCTCTTGATACTGGACAAACAGAGACAGACTAAGCGCTCCGTAAACAGAACAGCCCCAGATGTAGCTGAAGAGGCAGAGGTCAGGGCTCCAAGGCAGCATTCTCAGCCCCGACCCCGCAGAAAGATCTCACGGCCGCCCTCTGAGACCAGGAATAAATTCCAGGCCGAGTTCCCAGCTGACCTCGCCTTCCACCCCTCCAGCGCCCGGAACGTGAGGGCACGGACCCCTACCCTCTGCCTGACCTGGTCCGGAAGCGCTGTTCCCGCCTCCCGCATAGCAGCCACCCGCCGGTGCAGCGCCGCCGACTGATCCACCAGCGACTCGGCAGCTGCATCGTGCTCCCGCAGCCTCTCCAGCAGCGTCTTGGCGTCTGTCAGGATCTTCTCGATGGTGCAGCTCATAGCGGCCTCCTCCCGACCGCAGCCCCAGCACTGCCCACCTAAGCGAATCGCTCTGATCCTCCCTGAACCTGTCTCAGCGTCACACACGTAACTTCCGGGTCGGATTACAAGGCGCCGGGGCAGCGATGCACGCCTGCGCAGTGGCGGCCCAGCTCGGGATGACCCGCTTTCACCCCAGGCTTCCCTGCAGTCCCACCCCAGACTTCCCTGCAGTCCCGCCCCCGGAGCCGGAGGCCTGCCCTTGCCACGCCCTTGGTTTCCCATGCGCACAGCCTGGTGGTCAAGATGAGTTTTAGTCCTGCAGGGTCCGAGTTTCTAATTTACCTATTGGTTTTGATGTGGATTGTTATTCAGTCATCCTTTTTTTAATTTAGTTTTTTTTTTTAATTACGGTTAAATACTTATAAAATTTACCATCTTAACCATTTGTAAATATACAGTTCAATAGTATCAAATGCATTCACAATGCCCAATCATCACCACCATCCATCTCAGAAATCTTTTCATCTTGTGAAACTGAAACTCTGTGCCTATTAAACATTAAAGTCAGACTTGGCTGGTCCTCCTCCCAGCCCCTGGCAACCACTATTCTACTTTCTGTCTTTATGAATTTGACAACTTTAGACACCTCATATGAGCATAATTGTACAAATCATATTTGTCATTTTGTGATTGGCTTATTTCACTTAGTGTAATGTCCTCAAGGTTTATCTACACACATCACAATTTCTTTTTTCTTTAAGGCTGAAAAAATATATATTTTCACATTTTGTTTATCTAGTCATTCTATCTGTATTTATATATCTATGTATCTTATACCTATATGTCTGGATATACGTACATCTATATATCACTTTTTGTTTATTCTTTCATCAGTGGACACTTAGGTTGCTTCCACTTTTTGGCTACTGTGAATAATGCTGCTATAAACATGGATGTACAAATATGTTTGATTTCCTGCTTTTAATTCTTTTGAGTGCATATATAGAAGTGGAATTGCCTGGCCATATAGTAATTCTATTTTTAAAATTCAATTTAAAATTTTTTGAATGACCATAATGTTTTCCATAGTGGCTGCACCATTTGACATTTTCATAAACAGTGTATAATGGTTCCAATTTCTTCATACTTTTGCTAATTTTTGTTTTTCTCCACACTTGCTATGTTTTGGGTTTTTAAAAATAGCCATCTTAATGAGTATGAGATAAAGTCATTGTTTTCTGCTCGCTTCTTTGTTTCAGGAACTGTTTAGTGTCTGGGATCACAGCATTATCTTTGCTTCTAAACCTGTTCCTCCTCCTGTTTCAGTAAAAAGCACATTCATATACCCATTTGCCCAAAACACAATCCTGGAAGTCATCCAGTCATCCTTTATTCTTTCCACCAATTCTTTCCACTTAATCTGTTTCCACAGTAACCTATCTCTTTTACATCTTTAGGACATATTTCCTTCTTTGTATTTTCACTGTTACTAGGTCGGTTAGATCATCATCCTTTCTCACCCTGATAAAACAACAATCTTCCAACTGGTCTTCTATCTCAAGCCATCTCCTCCTCTAATAGCTCTCCATGAAAAATCCACGACCCTTTGCTACCCTTTCAGTGGCAGGTAATTATTTTTCTATGCCCCACCCACATTAAGACTGAGAACAAGACTGGTTATACTAATTTCCCAATGATACTGACAGTTACTCTTACTTGCTTGTGTAAAGCTTCTATTTTAAGTTTGTATCATCCAGCTGAAGAAGCTTCTATCCTTCCTTATGGCTCACAATTGCTGACCTTCTACCTTGGGATTTCTCTTTTATTCATAGAAGATTTCAGGAGTTGATTTACAGTCTTTTAAATTACTCCACACATGGCCCTCACCTTGGGTGACATTTATGTCCATGTGGACAGTTCATCCAATGTTCTATTTTTTCTTGGCTTCCTCAGTTCTAGAGACATTCAATTTATTTTGTTTACCCATGGCCAAACCCTTGATCATTCATCAAAAATTGTTCCTCATCGGAAATGTTAAGCTTTAATATCTAATTCTTTGATTGCAAGCTTTGTTTCAATCTATCTAGTTCTTGCAACCCTTTATCTCACTACTGTCTCTTTGATCTCATCCAGCTCTTCAGTTTCTGAATACATCAATGTTTCCCCTACCTATCAGACTCTTCCTTGTGGTCTAATTTTCTTTCTCTGACCAGACTGGGCTCTCATGATTGGCAGTCTGAACTATTGTCTTTCTAGCATGCCTAATCTCTTTGCATCTCTTTCTTTAATCCAAATGTAAGCAGTAAACTCCAATTCTTGACCAATCCTAGTAGTGATTAAAAGGGAATACAGAAATAAGGGAGGGGTTTTGTTTCCATTTTTTTGCTTTTGTTTTTATTAACAAGTCTTGAACATGTTTACAGGCTTTATAGAAGAAGGATCCCATCAAGAAAGAGATTCGAAAGAGTAGGGGGACATTTAAAGGAGGAGAAGGGACATAATAGTCACTTAATAGATCTTTGCTGAATAATTATTGGAATGAGGGGCATAGGGTCAAGAACACAGGTGAAGATTCTGGATTTGAACAGAATAAGATACATTTTCTTATAATAAAAAGGATAGGTACAAATATGGATTCTCGATGAAGAAACATGAAGCTGAAAGGAGTTGTAACCTTCAAGCCATCCCAATACTTCTGCTTCCCACCCATCGATAAACCTAAAGGTAAGCTCAGGCACTTTTAATGTTTTTTATGGATATTACAAAAACTTTCCAAGACCTCTTTTGCTTGTTCTGACTTATTTCCATTCTGATCTAATTTCTATCTGGCTCCTATTTCTTGTTTCCATTTCCTCCTTATTATTTAACTCTTACTCGTTGAGCCAGGAAGTGATTTTGGGTCTCCCTGGTTTTATTCTCAGCTGTCAGATGGCCCTATCAGCAATTTTACTTCTGCCTCTCTCAGAGTATATACCTTATCTCAGGGATCCTCTGATGATCCAAATGCCAAATCTGACCCACGCACATTTACATGAACTCTGGTGAGGGAGGGACTTGGACATTTTACTGGAAATGCCTCTGCTAGTACCATGCTCATTGCTGTAGCCATACCACACAGACAGGATCACAGGCTTACTCTTGTGCCTGAACCTGAGAAACCCTGCTCAGAGGTGTGGGAGTACAGGGCCCTGGGGGGCAGGTGGCGGTTCCAATGGTCCACAACAGAGACAAGGGTAGAGATACTTGACCTTACCTGGCCCCTAGTACCCCCACACCTTCCTTCAGTCATTGTCCACACATTCATCCTGTTCCTCATTGATGTCACCCTTTTGATACCTCTGGGAAATTTCTGAAATAATTCAAAATGCAAATCTTTATAGATATTTCGAATCTATGGTTAGGAAGTACAAGGTAATACATGTCCCATATTGCATTTAAGAAGTATCCTATTTTGTTCTTTTTTCATTCTTCATATGGTGAATTTTGAGTTCTCAGACTTTTTTTTTCTTCCTGTTGCTGTTAACTAATGGCTTTCTAGGATTTGGCCTTGAAAAACCACAGACCTTCATAATTATGGTGAACGAAATCTCAACAAGATATGGAGAAATGTTTAGTCTTCTAGAAAGTCAGAAAAGCAGAATCTATTTTGTATTCTAAAACTGTCCTTGTGAATGTTAATTCTAATTAAGAGACACCCTGACTTAAGAGATTGTTGCTATGACCTATGAAAGTAAACTTTAACATCTAAAAAGTCTGTAATTCTGATTGGTTGTCTTAATTTATTGTCCGGGTAATAATATTTAAATTGACATTTCTATTTCCTAAAAGATTTAAATACACTTTATAGTGGGTTGAATTGTGTCCCACAAAACATATGTCCATACCCTAACTCCTGGTATCTGTGAATGTGACTTTACTTGGAAAAAAGATCTTTGTATTTGTAATTAAGAAAAAGATCTTGAGATGCAATCATCCTGGATTAGCATGAACCCAAAGTCCAATAACAGGTGTCCTTAAAAGTGACAGAAAATACACAAAGATACACAGAGGAGATGGTCATGTGAAGATGGTGGCAGAAATTAAAGTGGTGGGTCTACAAGCCAAGAAAGGCCAAGGACTGCCTGCAGCCACCAGAAGCTTGGAGAGATGCATGGAACAGATTCTCTCAGAGCCTCCAAAGGGTGTCAACTCTGTTGACACCTTGATTTCACACTTCTGGCCTCCAAACTCTTGTGTTAAGCCACCCTATGGCAATTCATTATGACAGCAATAGGAAACTGATATACATATAGGTTTTTGTTTTTTAAAAATGAAATCAGAACATAATTAATGCTGTCCTCTTCTCCTTCATGTATGGAGATTTAAAACGTAGAAACAAATGAGATGACTGGTGGATTTTTTAAATAAACAGAGTCTAATATCATTTAAATTAAAAGGAGAAAATCTAAGAAACAGGCATTTTGGTATTATCAAAATGTGGGGAGACAGCAAGTCCTAGTTATGAAACCTCAAATATTCTTTATCACTATGCTATAGTGTGGTGTTAGGGCAAGATGGGGCATTAAGTATGTATTTCTCATTGAAAAACGTGGTAAAATTAGGTGCTGAGAAAGGTAGTGGGGTGTTCGTTGAGTGGAGCTAAGGTCTGGAATAAAGTAATGACTGAAGTGAATCAAAGGGTGTATCATTTATCTGTTGCTGCATAGTATAAACTCTACCCCAAACTTAGTGACTTAAAACAATAACCATTTCTTTTGTTCATGAGCATGCTGTGTAGTTCTTCTGGTCTGGGTCAGGCATGGCTGATTCTGGTTTGTGATTAGTGATTGGCAGGGGTCTAGCTGGTCCTGGATGGGTGGTAGGTCAGCTGACAACTGGCGTGATGGCAGTGGCTGGGTGATCTGGTAGACTAGCCATGATCGTTCACGTGGCTACCGGATTACGAGATCATTCCAAGCCCCAATGTGCAAGTGTTTCTTCAAGTCTTTGCTACTCATATATGCTACGATATCTCATTGCAAATCACATGGCCAGCCCACATTCAAGGGGTAGAGAGACAGACTCTACTTTTTTATGGGAGGGGAAGAATGTGTGTTCATTTTTTGTAATCTGTCATAGAAAGAAAGGTACTGAT